AAAAAAAAAAAAAAAAAACTGATAGAATATATAGTTGTCACTAGTGAGGTCTGCCAGTCAGAAGTGGGCTCTGAAGCTTAGCACTGTTGAGAGACGAAGTAGGAAGGCCCCCTAGTGATCTCCCATTTCAGTGGGTCAGCAAGAGACCCTTGTACTCACTCACAGTTATGGCCTAAAAATACCTGGTATTTCTAGGTATTATGTAGCCATACACACACTGTACCTACCTAACACAGTATAATGACAGAGCTGATAGTAATACTTCATTATTCACTTGGTCTATATCTAAATATTGAGAGATGACAAGTAACTAATTCCTGGTGAGATGAGTTAGGGAGGACTCTTGAAGGAAGCAGGGTTTGGCAGTGAGGAGAGCCGTTCCCTGGAGAGCAGCAGTTTGTCTGTAGCTGGGCTGAAAGGTAGTTCTGTGGAGGATGGCAGTCTGTTTTTGCCCTGCCCTGCCGGGTGACCTGACACCTCATCTCCTTTCAACTTAGGCAAGTCTCCTGGCTTGTGAAGGCCTAGCAGGTGTGAGTTTGGTTCCCACTGCAGCCAGCAAGAAGATGATGCTGAGCCAGATTGCCAGCAAGCAGGCCGAGAATGGCGAGCGGGCGGGTAGCCCTGATGTGCTGAGGTGCTCAAGTCAGGTACAGCGCTTGAGTCCATCGTGGCGCCTGGGGGTCGGGTGGCCTGAGCTCTCTGCCAGGAGATGCCAAGCTCTGATTCCTCACTGCTTCCACTTAGGGAAGTGGGGAAAGGAATCTAGCTGGGGAATGAATGAATATCAGTACTTCAGAGAACTAAGGAAGGTCTTTTCTGTACCTATAACTCCTTAAGACCAGGGTACTTGGAAAGGAACTAGATGGCACTTTTTCTAAGCTTTTGGGGTAGGTGGTTTACTGTCATGTAATTGTGTGTTTGAAAGCAGCATTTGATCTTGTCTTGTGTTCTGAGATGGACTGTGAGTTTAGATTTGATTTATCTTCAAAGGGCCATCGAAAAGACAGTGATAAGTCCCGAAGCCGCAAAGATGATGACAGCTTATCTGAGGCCTCTCATTCAAAAAAGACTGTTAAAAAGGCAGGTAATGGGGTAATCCCTCAAACTGATATAGTTTGGTAATGGAGTAATCTTCCTCTTTCTTACCTCCGTCACTCAACCTGTAGCTTTCCCTAGATGCTTTTGGTCCCTCATAGCCAGTGAGTATATACCATAGATTCATCCAGAGACTACTTTGGTAGTTGGTCTCCACCCTTGTGAACACCTATGGTATAGGCTGGGGAGCATGAGGTCCCATTGGGGGTGGGGGAGCGGACTCCAGCTAAGGTCTTACTCAGAGTGCTGGGTTTGACAGGGCAGACAGCTGACCCACTCCACCTCCTTCCCCAAGGGTCTCCTAACTAGGGAATATGGGCAAGGATGGCCCCTTTAGACAGTATCAGACAGGGTCCCTTGTCCAGCAGCTGGAAGTGGACCTAGGGTCTCTCCTGGAAGAGGAGAGAAGGATGGACTCATGAGATGCATGGTTATTGCCCCCAGGTGGTGGTAGTGGAACAGAATGGTTCTTTTCAAGTAAAGATTCCCAAAAATTTTGTTTGTGAGCACTGCTTTGGAGCCTTTAGAAGCAGTTATCATCTAAAGAGACACATCCTTATTCATACCGGTAAGTTGCTTGCTCTTATTCAAAGAGGGAGAATAGTTGATAGCTTGTCTTCTGTTGTGTGTCTATGTGTGGGTCTAGCTGGGTTTGTTTTAAAGGGTTGGTAGTAGAAATGAAGAAAGAAAGCTGGGCATGATGGCTCACACCAATAATCCCAGCACTTTGGGAGACCGAGGTGAGAGGATTGAGCCCGCAGGTTCAAGATCAGCCTGGCAATTTGGCAAGACTTGTCTCTACAGTAAATCAAAAAATTAGCCAGGCATGGTGGCGTGAGCCTGTAATTCCAGCTACTTGGAAGGCTGAGGCAGAAGGATCACCTGAGCCCAGTAGGTCGAGGCTGCAGTGGCCGCGAGCATGCCACTGCACTCCAGCCTGGGCGACAGAGTAAGACTTTAACTCAAAAAAAGAAAGAAAGGAGGAAGAAGATAAGTGAGTGAGGTAGCAATGACATGGCTCTGTTTCTGGTGTCACTGAGACCAGCAACTTTGGGGATCCTCCCCTTTATGATAGCTTGGGTGTCTATACATTGGTAGGAGTTAAAGTTTCTGAGAAAGCAACTGAAATGAGATCCCTGCCATACATACCACCTCAGTTCACTTCTCTCTCTGCTGGGCCAGGTGAGAAGCCATTTGAGTGTGATATATGTGATATGCGTTTCATCCAGAAGTACCACCTGGAGCGCCACAAGCGTGTACACAGTGGTGAAAAGCCTTATCAGTGTGAACGGTGTCATCAGGTAAGGCTCATAGGGTGTTTCTCCCTGCTAGAGCCCAACACACAAACTTTGCTTCCCAGGAAGGAGGGCCAGCCCCCACTCCTGTCTGACAAAGGGGCAACCTGGCTGGCATTCCTTGCCATAATAGTGGGAGCACCTTAGAATGAGTGCGTCAGCCGGGCTCGGTGGCTCAGCCTGTAATCCCGCGCCTTTGGGAGGCTGAGGTGAGTGGATTGCCTGAGCCCGCGGGTTCGAGACCCGCCTGGGCAACGAGACCTCATCTCTACAATAAATCAAAAAATCAGCCAGGTATGGTAGCGCATGCCTGTAATTCTGGCTACTTGGAAGGCTGAGGTGGAGGGATCGCCGGGGCCCAGCAGTTCGAGGCTGCGGTGACCGGGAGCAGCCACTGCACTCCAGTCTGGGCGACCGAGTGAGACTCCAACTCAAAAAAAAAAAAAAAAAAAAAAAAAAAAGAATGAGTGCGTCTCTCTGGTCTTAGGCGGCTGGTCATTGGTCATGAATAGGGGCTGTTAGAATATTGAAGAATAATTATAAAAGTGTTTCTTGAGCACTTACTCTGTGCCAGGCACTGTGAAAGCATACTTCATTGAATCCTCATATGAACTCCATAGGGTTCCTCCATAGGGTTCCTCAACAGCTGTGTTGTCCTCATTTCACATAGGGGAAATTGCAGTTTGGAGAAGTTAAGTTTCCCAAGGACATTGCAGACTAAGAGCAGAGCTCCTGTGCTTTGGAGGAAGAGATAGGATCTTTGCCCTGGGGGTCAGTATCTGATCTGATGACAATATAAGAGCCAGGACCAAAACAAGACGAGAACAAGAGATGAGAAGTGATAATAGCTGACACTTCCTGGATGTTTTGCTAGGTCCTCAGCTCTGCTCCACACTCCTACACTGAAACTTCAAAATACCAGAAGGTTCCATGGAGATACAGACTTTGTCCCTCTGGTTCTCACTCTGTCCTCAGCCCCAAGAAATGTACCTGCCTTGAGAGAGATTCCCAATAAATATTTGATGAGCGAGGCAGCTGCCCTGTGAGTAGGTGCTTTTAGCCTTGTTTTACAGATGAGCAAATAGGTTCCAGCTGTTCGATACCTTGCCCAAGGTCACACAGCAGCTAAACAGTAGAGCCAGGGTTAAGACCCGGGCACCATGTCTCTAGAGCTCACATACTTAACCACTGTGTGCTCGGCCTGTCTGTGCACATGCTGAGGGGATGTAGAATGTGTCATCTGCCTGCGTGGGTAGAGTAGAAGTTAGCCAACAGGTAGCTGAGTTTCTCCTCTCAGGCACTTAACCCTCCCTTTCTTCTCAGTGTTTTTCTCGAACAGATCGATTACTCAGACACAAACGGATGTGCCAAGGGTGCCAGTCCAAGACTTCCGACGGGCAGTTTTCTCTATAGGCGCAAGGGGCCCTGGGTGGTGGGAGCAATCAGAAGAATCTACCGAAGAGCGCACCCCCTCTGGTCTGATGGTCCCACCACCGCCCTGTCGAACCTGTCCCCCTCCCAGAGGAGTGGACCCAGGAGACCAGAAGAGTGCATCAGGGGACATGGCCCCAGAGCCTCAGCTCTGTAAATAATCTGAGACGATGAGTATCTCGGGGAAGTTCCTACAGCATTCCTGGGTAGGGGAGCTAGTCCCCGGACCCTTGGCTGAGGTCATAGGTGGGGACTCAGGGTACAGGACCAAGACTGAAGTATGGCTCCCACAACCTTGGACTCCAGCTGGCAGCTGAAATGGACAAGATTGGGGAAGGGAATTTGTTTGTTCTGTTCTTTGTTTATCCAAAAGCAACTTCAGGTAAACTGTGGATGCAGGTAATCTGGAGGCATAGAGTCCTGGTCCAGAGCAAGAACTGCTGATCCAGCCCTCTCCCAACACTGAGTTTTGAGTTGCAGTAGCTCCTCGTGTTCCCCAGCCATGCACTTGAGCTCCTGTTTGAAGAATAGGATCAGGAATGGCAGCTGAGCTTTTCTGGCCTCCTTTTCTGTAGGGACAAAAGGAAAAGCGGAGGGGAGCACGCAAGTGCTGGATCCAGAGAGAGCGGGTGGCACCTCTTACTTCCGCAAGGGGAGAGCAAGAGTTGCACCCATGGGTGTTGTCATGGCCCATGCCACTCTGGTACCTGATGGGGTCAGCTCAAGTGCCTTTAGGAGGAAACTTGGGTGAGAGTGGCCCATGAGGCCCTCTTCTTTTTTGGGCAACTGATCTTGGAGTTAATTTGTGGCTACCTCGCAGCCACTGACTCAAGCCAGACAGAGGTATTGAGCAAGGAGTCGTGGACGTCCGAGTGGTTCTCTTTTCTCCTGCCCTCTTAGGAACAACCCAAGACTAGTCCCAAGTTGGGTAAACAGCTGTTCAAGAAACAAATGTGTGGTCTTCTGCCATGACTGGCAGTAGGAGCTGTTCTCCCGCCCCAAGTCCTATCACTGTATTTGGGCAGAGGAGACAGGGGGTCTGTCCTTTGGTCCCAAAGAACACGATCTTGGCTCTCTCCTTGATGGCCATCCCTACCCAACAAGGAATGGGGGAGGGGTGTTGCAGAGAAAGGCTGAAGAAGAACCTACTGTAGGTTTTATTCTGAACCATATTCTTTGCTCCTCTCTGCTCCAACACCACCACCTTGTCCACCCCCCAAAAAGCAATCAGGGCTGTGTGTGTGTGTGTGTGTGTGTGTGTGTGTGTGTGTGTGTGTGATGTGATTGTTGGTGTTCATGTGCTTGGAGGAGATGGCCTGTTATTGAGCCAAACCCTTCTCTGGCCCCTCACCTTAGGGAAGGCTGAGCAGAAAACAGCCACCTCCTGCCCATACCTGAAGGGTGCTTAAGATCCCAGCAGGAGCTGAGGAACACAATTTAGGGAACAGGAGGGCTTTCTTTTGGAGGGATTTTTTTTTTTTAATTGACTCACCAAGCTGTTGGTTAGGGCATTTCTATTCCAGGGCTTGTGAACATAAATTTTCTAAGGTGAAATAAACCCTTTCTTCCTGCTAAAGAAAAGATCCTTGTGGGAAGTTCTGGGTTTGGTTGATCTTCACTGTGGCCTGCCCTGACCTGTCCCCCAGAGAGGGATGAGGAGAGAACTACCTTAGGAATCATGGAGACTGGGTAAACCTGAGCACCAGACTGTTGGGGGTGGGGGGGTTCTGAGATGCAGCCTTCTGGAAGTGTGACTCCATTTCCCAGAAAATGTGGGGAAGGGATGGCAGCAATTGCTGGCTGTTAACCTATTCCTGGGAGATGGGGCTAGGAGTCGTCCTTGCCTCTGGTATAAGTATTTCAGGGAGAAAAAGGGATTTTCCCTGGCAGTATCTGCAACCCACTGGGCTGACACTGCGGACCGTTTGCTGCTGTGTACTCTTCTGGCTTTATGCTGACACTCCCATTTGATGTGGTCCAGAACTTTGACCTGAGTCCTTGGATCTGCCCTGCAGTGACTGCAGGCAAGGGCACCTTTCTGCATGTGAGCCAGCCCCTTCCTATTAGAGAGCTCTGCTGGGGCTGGGATTTTTCTGTCATTCACTGCTGGGAGGATTGACCCCACATCTCCCAGCACTCTCTAGACCACCATTTTAAACATTTAGAAAACTGTCCTCCCAAAAATGCGCTAGAAAATGGGAGGCCTTACTCCCTACTGCTTGCAGCTCATCTCTTTGGGATGGGGGGGTGTGTGGAGATAACCATATGCATGACTAGGCCCTGTGTGTACCATGTACTAGGTCAGAAGGTGCCCTGGCACCCTGCAGACCATGGCTTCCTGCCCATGTGGGAGGGAGGGAAACTCAGTGTGGATGTGCAGAAAGCCATAGCGGACCCCCTGCCAAGAGTTGGTGGTGGCCCTTGAGCAGGCAGTTCTTTCAGGTGTTGGGGTGCTGATGTTCTGGGGCAGTGGGCATGTGAGGAGAGAGGAGCAAAGCGGTGAGTGAAGTGGCTTACCACCCTGAGGGGCCGAGTCCCCCTGCATCCCAGGGAACCACAGAGGCTCCTGGCCAGCACGCACCCCTCCTTGCTGGGGTGGGCCTAGCACTGGAACAATGCCAATGCTTCAGCTGTGTGGGGAGTCAGGGCAGGCTCTGAGACCAGGCCATGGAGTCCGGACTAGGGGAGAGTTGTGCCGGATCCTGGGTGGGACTGCTGCACCAGGCCCCACCATCCCTGCCCCGCACCCCACGTCTTTTCCGTCCACCCCAGCAACCTCGTCATCACTTAGCTACGGATTTAGCCCCGCAGCTTGACATTGGAGGGTCAGCTGAGGGGAGTCCCTCTGCGACTTGAGCCCCTCCCCAGATGCGCTCTGCCTCTGCTGTGGCCCTGGGGCATTTGTCTTCAACTCTCCCTTTCCTGTCCTTCCTCTCCACTCTTTTTTTTTTAATATACTTATTTTGCTATGGGGGAGGGGGATATCAAATGGACAAGATCACTTTTAAATGGTAGTTTTTATAAGATGTTATAAACTTGTATCTTTTTACCATTAAAGTGCAGTGTATGTTCCTTCGTGATATATTTAGGATATTTAAATAAAAGGAAAATGGGGCTTTTCTACATACTATCTCCTCTTTGGGAAGAACATCCTCTGGAAAACTTTTTCAGAGTGGTTTTCTTTTTTTCTCCCTAATATAGCACATAACTTCAGCTCCTATAAACCATTTTTAAACTCCCCCTCACAGAGGAGCAACAAGTAGAAGCAATAGCATCAGGTTCGAACAAGAGCCAAAAGACGTGCAGCAGGACAATGGGGTGAAACACCACCAGATGCAGTGTTCCCCAAGTGTGGGCTATGGCCCTCCTGCCTCAGCAGCCCCTGGGAATTCACAGCCCTCTCCAAACCTGGTTCCAGACAGCACCTGGGGTCCCCTGCACCTTCAGGTTTGCGCTCCTCTGCCTGCCCTCTGGTAGTAAGGAGGAGGATGGATGTGAGCTTTTCCTGAGCCTTGGCCTTGGTAAGATAAAGCTGAATGGCAGCTGTGGGCTGAGGTGAGACTTTATTGTATATTTGGTGGGTGGTGCCTACTCCTTGAGGCACGGAAGCAGGGTCACAATTGTAGGAAGCAGCCTGTTGGGTGTCACTCAAGGTTAGGTGGAGACCACTGCTCAGCAGTGCATGAGTCCCCTGCCAGGTTCCAGCCTGAGAGACCCAGCCTTCCCCCACCTCCAATTCCCGCTGTCCTCCCAGAAAGAAGAGGCCGGATGACATGCTGCCCTCCTTCAGAGAGCAGGACTGTCTGCCTCCTGAAAGCGGGGATTGATGATGGTCGTGATGGCACTTTTGTAGAGAGGATTGTTGTCCTGGGAAAAGATATCATAAACCATGAGGAAATACTCCAGGGTTCCTTGTCCCCCTTTTCGTTTTTTAGTTGGAATCTCACTTTCATCTAGGCTGGAGAGCAGTGGCACACTCATGCCCACCACAGCCTTGACCTGCTGGGCTCAGGCGATCCTTCTGCCTCAGCCTTTCAAGTAGCTGGAACTACAGGCATGCGCCACCACGCCCAGCTAATTTTTTTTTTTTTTTTGAGTTGGAGTCTCACTCTGTTGCCCAGACTGGAGTGCAGTGGCTGCTCCCGGCCACCGCAGCCTCGACCTGCTGGGCTCCGGGGATCCTTCCACCTCAGCCTTCCAAGTAGCTGGAACTACAGGTGCGCGCTATCACGCCCGGCTGATTTTTTGATTTATTGTAGAGATGAGGTCTTGCCAAGTTGCCTAGGCGGGTCTCGAACCCGCAGGCTCAGGCAATCCACTCACCTCAGCCTCCCAAAGCGCGGGATTACAGGCTGAGCCACCAAGCCCGGCCAATTTTTTTTTTTTTTTTAATTGAGATGAGGTCTCGCCAAGTCGCCCAGGCTGGTCTTGAACCCGTGGGCTCAGGCAGTCCTCTCACCTTGGCCTCCCAAAGTGCTGGGACTATAGGCCTGAGACGCCATGCCTGGCCTTTTGTCCCCTAATGTAGGCCAACCAATTACTTGATCTGGGTTCGAGGAACTGATGGGAGTTAGAGAAACTGATCAAGTGTGGAGGGGATGGAGGCCACCTAGGAGGGAGGAGGCGGGGCTGGGCACACGGAGTGGGGAAGCAGAGAGCAAACGGGGGCCAACCAGGAAAGCAAGCAAGGAAAGCCAGCCCTGCGGGGTGGGAGGCAGTCGCACCTGCTTCCAGGTGAGTTGCTGCTGCTCTTTCTCAAAGCGATTGTATTCCCGGCGGTCGTAGATTTCCACCGAGAGCCGGTAAGCCAGGACCAGCCCCAGCCCCACTGCTACGATGCCCCCCACGCAGCCCAGCACAATGGCCTGGGTGTGGTCTGCTCCCTCTGTGAGGAAGAGACAGAACACAGACTTCTGCAGACTGGGCACAGAGACCGAGCCACAGCGGCCCACGATGTGTGCTGCCTCTCCAACCCTCTCTGTCACTGAGGGCGAAGGGAACCAGCAGGGTCCATGGTTGTCCTCACAGCCCAGGGCCTTGGCCACTTGCCTCCTCCTCTGCCTTTGTCCTGGACTCAGCTCTGCCTCGCCCCCACCCCCCGCCCCCACCTGGTTTCCCGTTATCTTCACCACCTCCTGCCCAAGCTCTGAGCCCCGCCCATGAAACTTCCAGGACTCGTCAGCCATGTCCCTGGTGTCTCTGCCCACTCACTCTCTTGGGCACTCACTCTCTTGGGGTCTCACTCTCAGCACGACCCTGCCTCCGGCTTTCTCCTCCACGGAGAAGAAGAACAGCTGGTTGTCCAGGGTCCTCTCCTTGCACCAGCCATCATCCAAGACAGGGTCCAAGGCCAGGGTCATGTTGACGTGGGCACAGACCCTGCTGCAATTGGTGGCCAGGGGGCCAGTCCCAAAGGCCTCACACTCGGCACAGTCCCTGTGTGGTGGATGCAGGAAGTCAGCTGGGCAGCTGTCACCCACTGACCCTTACCCATCACACGCAGGAAGGAGGCAGGTGGGAGCGGCTCAGTGAGCCCTACTGTGCCCCTGCTCCCAAGACTCAGGCCTGAGGCCTCACCTGTATCTCTCACATGGTGTCTTGCAGCCTGGGCACTGGTCACACAGAGCACCGAAGTAGCCGTCCGAGCACTGGCAGCGGTTGCATTTGCAGTGTCCGTGTCCACTGCAGAGCCCTCCCTCGGGACTGACACAGCTGTCCTCGTCCCCGCTGCACTCACATGCTCTGCCCGTGCGGTTGGCACGACAGTGACACACCCCGCACTGGCAGCTGCCGAAGCCTGGGTAAGAGTCACGCACAGGGTGACCACCATTCTCCCCACACTCAGTCGGCCATCACGTGCACCGCAGCCCCAAGCATCCAGTCACTTTCAAGTGCGCCAGACACACGCTCACCAGACCAGAATTCCCACCGTTCGCCCTCAGTGCCACGGAGCTCCCAGAGCCTAAGCGCCTTGGGAGGGCCTCTCAGAGCCTGCCGCCCCCCCATGCTCCAGGTACCTCCACAGAGGATGCCCTCGTGGCGCTCACAGCTGGCGTCATCGCACTCGCACAGGCGCCCGGAGCTCTGTCCGCTGCAGCTGCAGCGTCCGCACTGACACCGGCCCTTCCCACTGCACAGAGGCCCTGTCCCGTTGGGGGCCCGGCACCCGGCTTCCAGATCCAGGGAGGACAACTCGGCCTCGGAGCACTCACAGAGCCGACCCAGGCGGCCGGGCACACAGCTGGGAGGGGAAGGCAGAGGAGAGAGAACTGGGTCAGGGAGTTGGACCACTCCTGACCTGTCCCTCCCAGTATCCTCTCAACAAATTCTCGAAAGAGCTGGGCTCGGTGGCTCAGCCTGTAATCCCGCGCCTTTGGGAGGCTGAGGTGAGTGGATTGCCTGAGCCCGCGGGTTCGAGACCCGCCTGGGCAGCGAGACTTCATCTCTACAATAAGTCAAAAAATTAGCCGGGCGTGGTAGCACATGCCTGTAATTCCAGCTGCTCGGAAGGCTGAGGCGGAAGGATCGCCAGAGCCCAGCAGGTCGAGGCTGCGGTGGCCGGGAGCGGCCACTGCACTCCAGTCTGGGCGACTGAGTGAGACTCCAACTCAAAAAATAAAAATATAAATAAATAAATAAACAAATTCTCGAAAGAGTTAGAGCGAGACGAGGGGATGCCAGGGTAGAGTGGAGCACCGAGGGGTGGAGGAGAGGAGGGACCTCTGGTCAAGGGGAGGGCCTGGGCACATCTGGGAAGCTTCAGGGAATGAAATTCAGGGGCGAGTCCTGGGCTATTCAGGAGGCACCCGTGGGAGGGCAGAGAGCAGGAAGGCAGGGCTGGCCACCTGTGAGGATCCAATGGTGTCAACGGAAGAGGAGACCTCACCTGCACACCCCACACTGTAGGTGTCCCTGGCCGTCGCTGCAGTGGGGAGCCTGGGGCTGGGTGTCACTGCAATTACAATCACACAGTGTGTGCAGCTCCACAGCCAGCTCCTCTGAGAAGCCAAGGGCCCGGAGTCGCAGGAGATGGGGCTCCGGGAGGCAGTGGGTGGCTTGGAGAGTAACCCAGAAATTCACCTGAGGACAAGGTAGGTGGAACTCAAACCAGGATTATACACGCATGTGTGCACAGTCCCCCACCCCCAGCCCACCAATCATCCAGAACCCTACACCTTTGTAAATGAAGGGGTAGAGTCATGATAACGCCCATCTCCTAGAAACAGAGAGGACGGGCACACAGCTGGGAGGGCACAGTGGCTCACGCCTATAATCCCAGCACTTTGGGAAGCTGAGGTGAGAGGATTGCCTGAGTCCACAGGTTCAAGACCAGCCTGAGCAACATGGCGAGACCTCATCTCTACAATAAATTGAAAAATTAGCCGAGTATGGTGGAACATGCCTGTAGTTCCAGCTACTTAGAATTCTGGCTGAGGTGGAAGGATCTCCTGAGCCCATCAGGCCAAGGCTGCCGTGGCCGTGAGCATGCCACTGCACTCCAGCCTGGGCGACAGAGTGAGACTCCGACTCCAAAAAAAAAAAAAAAAGAAACAGAGGACACCACTCAGTAGCCCCCGCAGGACAGACGGAGGCCCGCACCGCCCTGGGCCTGCTCCCCATGTTCCCTGCCTGCTTTGACCTCCCATTCCCACCCCCACCTCCCTCCTTCTGCCCGTCCTGGCCAGCTCTCACCGTCTGGTTGGTTCGGACCTGGCTGCATTGTCCTCGATTCCCAGCCTTACCCTCCCTCGTCTCAGGACCCTCACACTGGGATTTGTAAGAGATCCGGACTCCAGGGGGGAGTGAAGAGTGTTCAAGGGTCACAGTGGATGACAGGCTCTGTGGGAAGAGAGACGGAGGAACCCCATGAGAGCAGGACCCCAAGCCTCCATGCCCTCTCCAGGCGGTCCCAGTTCTACCACATCCTGCCTCTGGGGCTCCTCCCATTCTTCTGCCCAGTTGGGAGGCCTGTCTGAAGGAAGGACCTGTGACACCCTTCAGCGGAATACAGGGATCCAGAGGCCTCTGAGAGAGCATTTCAGTGCACCTGCCAGGGAGGGCCCCCTAGGGGTCAGGGGCTGGCCAGGCGCTGTACACAGGCAGTGACTGTGTTTGTGAAACCCCAAACGGGGACACATAACCTGGATACACGCAAGGTCTACGAAGCAGACTCATTACACTGAGCTTGTCCTGGAAAATTTGATACTGTCTCCAATTTTTTTGCATAGGTTTAGGACACAGTCCCTGTCATCAAGAAGCCTATAGTCGCTGGACGTGGTGGCTCACGCCTGCAATCTTTGGAAAGCCAAGGTGGGAGGCTGAGGTGGGAGGATTGCTTGAGGCCAGGAGTTCAAGATCAGTCTGAGCAACGTAGTTAGACCCTGTCTTTACAAAAAAATAAAATAACTGCTGAGTGTGGCCGCATGTGCCTGTAATCTTAGCTACTCAGGAGGCTGAGGCAGGTGGACCATTTGAGCCCAAGACATCAAGGCTGCAGTGAGCTGTGATCACACCACTGAACTCCAGGCCGAGTGGCAGAGCAAGACCCTGTCTCAAAAAATTAAATAAAGAAGCCTACAGTCTAGTTGAAGAGATAAAACCTAAACCCAAGAAACACAAGAATTTTTGTGGGCTGGACTCGGTAGCTCAGTCTGTAATCCCAGTACTTTGGGAGGCCGAGGCGAGTGGATTGCCTGAGCCCGCGAGTTCAAGACCAACCCGGGCAACTTGGCGAGACCTCGTCTCTACAATAAATCAAAAATTAGCTGGGTGTGGTAGCATGCACCTGTGTAGTTCCAGCTACTTAGGAGGCTAAGGCGGAAGGATTGCCAGAGCCCAGGCAGGTCAACGCTGAGGTGGCCATGAGCATCCCTCTGCACTCCAGCCTAGGTGACAGAGACTTCAACTAAAAAAAAAAAGGGGGCCGGGCTCAGTGGCTCAGCCCGTAATCCCAGCACTTTGAAAGGCCAAGATGAGTGGATTGCCTGAGCCTGAGGGTTCGAGACCCGCCTGGGCAACTTGGTGAGACCTCATCTCTACAATAAATAAAAAATTAGCCGGGCGTGGTAGCGTGCGCCTGTAGTTCCAGGTACTTGGAAGGCTGAGGCGGAAGGATTGCCAGAGCCCGGCAGATTGAGGCTGCAGTGGCCCGGAGCGGCCACTGCACTCCAGTCTGGGCGACAGTGAGACTCCAACTCAAAAAATAAAATAAAATAAAAATAAAAATAATAAAATATCTCTAAATTGTTTTATAAACTTAGTGAAAGAAGACTCCAGGTCTCACATTATTTACATACAGACCGACCGCGGATAAATGTCAACCCTTCCATTTGTTATCTGTGTGACCTTGGGCGAGTCACTTATCCTCTCTATGTCTGCCTCCTCATCTGTAAGACAGGGTTGATAAAGCTAGGAAACAGGGGTTTGGGCAGGGGTTTGAAGTAGCAAACAGCATGTGCACCTGTGGCAGCACTTGGCAGGAAATCAAAGCTCAATGGATGTAACTTTTCTTTTTTCTTTTTTTGTGTTGGAGTCTCACTTTGTCGCCCAGACTGGAGTGCAGTGGCCGCTCCCAGACACCGCTGCCTCAACCTGCTGGGCTCTGGCGATCCTTCCGCCTCAGCCTTCCGAGTAGCCGGAATTACAGGCATGCGCTACCACACCTGGCTGATTTTTTGATTTATTGTAGAGATGAGGTCTCGCTGCCCAGGCGTGTCTCGAACCCGCGGGCTCAGGCGATCCACTCACCTCAGCCTCCCAAAGGCACAGGATTACAGGATGAGCCACCGAACCCGGCATAACTTTTCTTTCTTGCCAGAGCAGTCACTTAAGATCTAGGAATGTGGGCTGGGCTCGGTGGCTCAGCTTGTAATCCCAGCACTTTGGGAGGCCAAGGCAAGTGGACTGCCTGAGCCCACGGGTTCGAGATCCACCCGGGCAACATGGCAAGATCTCGTCTCCACCATAAATAAAAAAAATTAGCCAGGTGTGGTAGCGCTCTCCTGTAGTTCCTGCTACTTGGAAGGCTGAGGTGGAAGGATTACTGGAGCCCAGCAGGTGGAGGCTGCGGTGGCCCAGAAGCATGCCACTGCACTCCGGTCTGGGACTCCAACTCAAAAAGAAAAAAAGATTTAGGAATGTGGCTGGGCACGGAGGCTCACGCCTATAATCCCAGCAATTTGGGAGGCGGAGGCGAGAGGATTGCCTGAGCTCAGGGGTTTGAGACCAGCCTGAGCAACATGGCGAGACCTCATCTCTACAATAAATCAAAATAAGTAACCAGGCGTAATGGCACATGTCTGTGGTTCCAGCTACTTGGAAGGCTGAGGCAGAGGGATCACCTGAGCCCAGTAGGCCAAGGATGCAGTGGTCATGATATATATCCGGGTGTAGTGGTATGCACCTTTAGTTCCAGCTACTTGGAAGGCTGCGGCAGAAGGATAACCTGGGTGACAGAGCTGAGACTCCAACTCAAAAAAGATTTAGGAATGGGAGGCTGAGGGAGTGAGCTGTTAATGGCAGCCCTGTGCAAGCCATAGATAGGAGCCGTGGAATGTTAGGCCAAAACGTGATCATACCTTCTTCCTTCTGCCACCCTCCCCAGGGCCCTTTTCCCAGTTTCCCCAGAGCCCAGCCTCGCCAGCCTCCCGTCCCGGCCCCTCACGTTGTAGGCGTCCATGATGAGCTGCACCACATTGCTGGAGTCCTCACTCAGTTCTCCCACTGCAGACTTAGGAATCAGCTTACTCAGCTCCTGAGTTTCGGGGAGTTGAGGGAAACGGTGGGTCACAGCTGTAGGAAAATGGGCACCCAGGGGGCTGGAAGGAGGGTATAAGAGGTGCAGAGAATGGGGAAAGCTGGGGTCAGGCTGGGGGGCTCACATGTAGACAATTCTCACCTGGTAGACAGGCAGTATGGCACTGGTGACAGCAAAGATGGGCTGGATGTTTGCTGCAGAGAGAGCCTGGGCTACCTGGCCCACGGAGGGGTAGTCCTGGGGCAGGGAGCAGGGGCAAGGTGAGTGCCCTCTCTCCCACACCCCGCAAGTTCCCCGCAGCCTGGAGATCCAGGACCCAGGGCCCCACCAGTCAGAGGAACCCTGGAGGCTCAGGAAGGAGTAGGAAGGTGACACAAGTTTCCTGTCTGAGCACCCACTAGGGAGGAAGACAGGCTGTCTACAGGGGGGTCACCAGTGAGGAGTGTGAGGCTGAGGGCGGGGGTCCCGGCAGGACAGGAGGTGTGGCTCAGATGGGGAGGGGCAGGGTAAGAGCGGGGACTTACAAACTCTGTGCTGCGACTGTAGAGGCCATTGCTGTCCAAGTGACAGTGACCATCACTGGGCATGAAAATGCCACCCAACTTCCCATCCCCAGCTGTGTGGAATGTGTCGTCTGAAGTGAACACGAGGAGCCGGGACACATTTCTCCAGCCAATCTGCTCCTGGGGTGCAGTGGGGGGGAGGCTGTATAAGTGGACATGGCCTTCAAGCTACCCACCAGAGTTATAGGGCAAGGGTTTGGCTAGCCTCATTTGGAGTCAGTTTGTCCATCTGCCTTGCCTCCCGCTTCTCGCTGCGCCCTGCTCTCCCCAGGTCCCCAAAATAAGGCCACTGCCTTCTGATGAACTAGAAAAACACGGCCGGCCTCGGTGGCTCAGCCTGTAGTCCCGCGCTTCGGGAGGCCGAGGTGAGTGAATTGTCTGAGCCCACGGGTTCGAGACCCACCTGGGCAACTTGGCGAGACTTCATCTCTACAATAAATCAAAAAATTAGCCGGGCGTGGTAGTGTGCACCTGTAGTTCCAACTACTTGGAAAGCTGAGGCGGAAGGGTCGCCGGAGCCCAGCAGGTCGAGGCTGCGGTGGCCAGAAGCGGCCATTGCACTCCAGTCTGGGCGACAGAGTGAGACTCCCACTCAAAAAAAAAAAAAGAAAAACACACCTCTTCCTCAAGATATTTTACTCCACCGGGCTCAGTGGCTCACACTTGCAATCCCAGCACTTTGGGAGGCTAAGACAAGAGGATTGCCTGAGCCTAGGAGTTAAAGACAAGTCTAAGCAACTTGGTGAGCCCTCATCTCTACAATAAATTTTTTTTTTTTTTTTTTTGAGTTGGAGTCTCACTCTGTCGCCCAGACTGGAGTGCAGTGGCCGCTCCCGGCCACCGCAGCCTCGACCTGCTGGGCTCCGGCGATCCTTCCGCCTCAGCCTTCCGAGTAGCCGGAATTACAGGCGCGCACTACCACACCCGGCTGATTTTTTAATTTATTGTAGAGATGAGGTCTTGCTGCCCAGTCGGGTCTCAAACCCGCAGGTTCAGTCAATCCACTCACCTCAACCTCCCAAAGGTGCGGGATTACAGGCTGAGCCACCCAGCCCGGCTTAAATTTTTTTTTTTAAATTAGCCAAGCGTGGTGGTGCACGTCTGTGGTTCTAGCTACTTGGAAGGCTGAGGTGGAAGGATCGTTTAAGCCCAACAGGTCGAGACTGTAGTGGCTGTCAGTGTGCCACTGTATTCCAGTAGGCATGACAGTGAGACTCTGACTCGAAAAAAAAAATTTTTTTTACTCCAATCCACCAGGTAATTGTAAAAATAAATGTGCATATTGACTTCACACCAACTTGAATGGATTTAGAGTCTATCATACTCAGTGATCTATCACAGAAACAACAGAGTACCACATGTTCTTACTCGTAAGCAGAGCCTGAACATTTACCATAATACTATAGAAAGCGATTGGCGGCCGGGCTTGGTGGCTCAGCCTGTAATCCCAGCACTTTGGGAGGCCAAGGCAAGTGGATTGCCTGAGCCTGCGAGTTTGAGAACCACCTAGGCAACTTGCCAAGACCTTGTCCCTACAATAAATCAAAAATTAGCGGGCGTGGTAGTGTGCGCCTGTAGTTCCAGCTACTTGGAAGGCTGAGGCAGAAGGATCGCCGGAGCCCAGCAGGTCGAGGCTGCAGTGGCCGAGAGCA